ATTCTAAAACATGTATGGGATTTCAAGAGACTCCAAATAGCCAAAATAATTTTGAAAGCAAAAGATAAATTTCAAGTGTCACACATCCTGTTTTCAAAATATGAGACATGTAAAAAAATTTGTATATTATATGTAATACATTACACACACACACACACACACACACACACACACACACACCACATCTTTATTCATCAGTCCGTGGACATTTGGGCTGTTTTCATAATTTAGCTATTGTAAGTAATGATGCTGTAAATATCAGGGTGCATGTATCCCTTCAAAATAGTATTTTTGTATTCTTTGGGTAAATACCTAGTAGTGCAACTGCTGGATTATAGGGTACTTCTGTTTTCAACCTTTTGTGGAACCTCCATACAGTTTTCCAGAGTGGTTGCACCAGTTTGTATCCCCACCAACAGTGTAAGGGAGGGGGGGAAGAGAGAGAGAGAGTCAAATCAAGAAACAGACTCTTAACCATAGAGAATAAACTGATGGGTATCAGAGGGGATGTGGGTTCAGGCATGGGTTAATTAGGTGATGAGGATTAAGGAGTGTGCTTCTGATGAGCACTGGATATTGTATGGAAGTATTGAATCACTATATTGACACCTGAAAATAATATTGCACTGTACGTTAAATAACTGGAATTGAAATAAAAACTTAAAAAAAAAAACCCCAAAACTGAAACAATATATATGTATGTATGTATGTGTGTGTGTGTGTGTGTGTGTGTGTGTGTGTATTATATGATGTAACACTAATGATGACCGTGTGATACTGACATAAAGACAGAAATGTAGACCATTGGAACAAAATATAGGGCCCAGAAATAAACCCTTGTGTATATGGTCTAATGTTCTTCAACAAGGGTGCCAAGAACATAAAATGAGGGAAGGACAGTCTTTTCAACAAATAGTGTTGGGAAAACTGGATCTCCACATGCAAAAGAATCAAGTTGGAGTCTTGTCTTAACACCATACATAGAACCTAACCCAAAATGGATTAAAGACCTAAAAGTAAGACCTAAAACTATAAAACTCCTAGAAGAAAACATAGGGGGAAAGCTTTAGGACATTAGATTTGTCAGTGATTTCTTGGATATAGCTGTTATCAAAAGAACAGAAAATATCAAGTATTGGCAAGAATGCAGAGAAATTGGAACTCTTGTGCACTTTTGTTCTGAATATAAAATGGTGCAATCATGGAAAATAGTATGGCGGTTTCTCAAAACATTAAAATGGGATTGCTATGTGATCCAACAGTCCCACTTCTGCTTATATATCCAAAATAATTCAAAGAAAGAGCTCAGAGAGATACTTCCATGCCCATGTTCATCAAAGCATTATACACAGTAGCTAAAAAGAGGGAGCATCTCAGATGTCTATTGATGGGTGAATGGATAAAGAAAATGTACTATATATCTACAATGGAATGTTATACAGACTTTAAGAAGGAGGAAATCCTGACACATGCTACAACATGGATAAACCTTGAGGATATTATGCTAATTGAAATAAGTCAGTCGTTAAAGAGCAAATACTGTGCTATTCTACTCATATGAAGTATCTAATGTGGTCAAGCATAGAAACAGATAGTGAAAAGCTGGTTTCTAAGGCCTGTGGGAAGGGTATGGAAAAGGAGAGTTCAATGAGTCTAGAATTTCAGTTTTGTTGTTTTTTTTTAAAAGATTTTATTTATTTATTTGACAGACAGAGATCACAAGTAGGCAGAGAGGCAGGCAGAGAGAGAGGAGGAAGCAGGCTCCCCGCTGAGCAGAGAGCCCGACGTGGGGCTCGATCCCAGGACCCTGGGATCACGACCCAAGCCAAAGGCAGAGGCCTTAACCCACTGAGCCACCCAAGCGCCCCTAGAATTTCAGTTTTGCAAGATGAAAACATTCCAAAGATATGTTGCATAACAACATAATAAACTTATCACTATTAAACTGTACTCCTAAAATGATTAAAATGGTAAGTCCTGTTATGTGTTTTTTATTACAAAAAAAAAATATTTTCTCACTATAGCTTCTAGATGACTAAAATGCTAGTGGATGCAAGGTGAATACACCCATGACCAAAAGTTAACTCTGTTGTAATGTCATACTTTCAGTACTATGGAGAGAGCCACTAAAAATAAGACAATGAATGCTTTAAAAAAATTCTTGAACGAATATGGACATTAACAGATAAAACATGAAAGGAGGACAGAAAATACTAAAATCTGTGTAGTTTGACATTTGACATAAGCTTACCCTAATGTAGAATATGTTTTCTCAATAATATGAAGCTAAATTTAAAGAGAGACCGTATAAACAAGTATAAAACAATTGTTCAACTCCTCTGCACAAAACTGTTTAGTTATTGCTAGATGATAATGGGTGCCTTTAAATTTTTATGGATACCTGTATTGTCTAAACGTCCCACAAAAAATGTGCATTAATGATGAAATAAAGAATTATTTTAAGCTAAAATTTAGAAAAGAAAGGTGTTGTATACATTGTTTTCTCTGGTTTTAAAATCAGGCAAATTTGACTTATACTATTCTGTGACTATGCATTTGACAAATACAATTACTGAGCTATTAATCATGTAGATATGTCAAGAAAGACAAGATAACTCCCTGAAAGTATCAGAAGGGCAAAAGATGTATCAACATTTCTAAAAGGAAAGTGTAGAAATGAGCAGAAAAAACATCAAAATGGTATTTTATTCAGCACCATTTCTTGATGGAAAATTTATTGGAATTAATTACTGATTGATAAAATTACAAACATCTGAAAATGCCAAGGGTAGTAGTTTTGTAGAGAACAAACAATGACAAACAAATTCAGTTTATTTTATGGCAGAGTGACAAGGGGAAACCATACATTTAGTAGAGTGGGGATTGAGTTGGTTTCCTCCATGTGTCTCACATTATAATCGCCTCAGCAAAACTAGGAAGTATAGCATGAGATAGGATCATGTACCCAGAGGGCAGTGATCAGAAGTTCACTATCAGTATCAGAAGACAGAATGAATATTCTTTCTTTGCAGTTGTCAGAGTTCTGTGTGTAATTATTATATAAGGGATTGAAAAGCTTGAATAGAGAATGCTGCTTGTTTGAAAAAGACAGTCAGTTAAAGTGGCTTGTTAACAATCTGGAATGGAAAAGAAAGAATCTGATGCCTTTGTTCTTAGTAGAAATTATAGACATACTGCATATAGCTTCTTTTCAAGCAGAACAGTTTATTTTAAGATAATTGTCTTTAGTGAAATTACAGCATATACCTGAAAAAAGTGATTGTAAATGACTTTGTGCAAACAATGCAGTGTAGCATTCATTCCGCCAATCTGAGGAAGCAATGTAATCTTACTTCAAAAAGATTTTTAACAATTCCACGTGAGCCAAATAAATAGTATGCTAAAAGATTTCCATCCGGAATATTATAGGGATTTTATGTAAGGTATGTGAAATCATTTTGGAAAAGATGCTAATTACAAATAAAATAGCAAAGAACAAAGCTGTTAGATGCAATACAGAATTCCTCTTACCTCCAGAAGTAGTCAGATCTATAAAAAATAATTGTTCAAAATGCAATATAAATTAGCATGAATTGAGAATTTCCATACTTAATGGGTATCATCACCTTTCCTTTACTCCAAAATTACAGAAACAGAATGCTCTTGCCCTATATCTAATAAAACTAAAAAAAAAAGCAAAAAAACCCCTGTCTTAATAGCTTTATTTATTCTTTATCCCCACACATAAATATGCATGTGTATGTTTATATATATATATATGTGTGTGTATTCATTTTCTAATTTTTCATTTTTCGCATCAGAATATAGGTTCCATGAAAACAGAGACTTTTTTGTTTTCTATTTTGTCTGTGGTACCCACAGTAGAGGTTTAAGAATCTTTGTGGCATAAACTAATTTTAAAAAGAGAGAGTAGATAAATATTGTACATTTGCTCAAAAAATATCCATTTTGGGAATAGTCTCATAAGGCAACAGTAGTGATTCATTTTAAACATATGGACAGATAATTTCATAATGATGAACATGAATGATAGCATTTACAGATTTAATCCTTTAAATGACTTTGCTGTGACCCGCTTTTTAATTGCCTTTAAGTTTTGTTAGAATATAAAATAACATGCTATTTATCTTTACTATCCAATTTGATAATGGATGATTACTATTTTCCAATTTGTTTTTGTAGGAATAACCCAGAGTAAAAATGAAACATGTAACCTTAAAATATATTTTGTTCTATTTATTGTCCCTAGGAAAGTTATGTTCATTTAGATATTTTTTGTTAAAGGGCATATATTTTTCCTTGTGTTTTGTTTGAAGATGCTAAAAATTAACTTCTTCATGGAAGACAGTCGCATCTTCAGTGGTAACTTTTTAGTTTGAGTTGACAGAGGACTTTGTTTTTAAAGAATTTTTTTATTTATTTGACAGAGAGAGACACAGCTAGAGAAGGAACACAGCTGAGGAAGTGGGAAAGGGAGAAGCAGTCCCCAACCCCCCACCACAACACACTGCGGAACAGGGAGCCCGATGTGGGGCTTGATCCCAGGACCCTGGGGTCATGACCTGAGCTGTAGGCAGACACCCAATGACTGAGTGACCCAGGCGATCCCCGCTTTTTTTAAGATTATATTTATTTACCTGTCAGAAAGTGCACAAGCAGGGGGAGTGGCAGGCAGAGGGAGAAGGGGCAGAGGAGAAGCAGGCTCCCTGCTGAGCAAGGAGCTGGATGTGGGACCAGATCCCAGGACACTGGGATCCTGACCTGAGCCAAAGGCAGACACTTAAGGACTGAGCCACCCAGGTGTCCCAACAGAGGTCATCTTAATGTATGGTAGCAGCATGTCCATAGCTGTTAACAGATGTTTCAAGTCTATCAAGAGTCTTCAAAGTCTCTTTTTAAGAAGGCAAGTAATAAGAATACTCATATTTATGATGACTTCTCCTTTTGCTTACTGTTTTTTCTTGTGTTTTTTTTTTCAGAAATTGAAAAATTTCAAGGTTCTGATGGAAAAAAGGAAGATGAAGAAAAGAAATATCTTGATGTCATCAGCAACAAAAACATAAAGCTCTCAGAAAGAGTATTGATTCCTGTCAAGCAATATCCAAAGGTACTGCAATATATGCTCTGTTCTCATGGAATTAAGAAAAAAAATGATAAACATATGACCTGATGTTTTATTCATTGTCTTTCATGAAGTAAATATTTAAAATTTCATTATATTAATATACACAAATATATGATACTGATACAGAGGAAAGAGAAGTCTTTGAAAGTACACCGATATGAACTGTTTTCACCTAAAGACCGCAGCACTTTTATTCCATGAATATGGGAAGCATAAATAGATATTTAATTATTATTTAACATGTAAATTGTTCAACAGTTTGTCCAAATATACATACTCACTTGATTATGTTTTGGTTCATGTTACAATATATATTCCTACTATAAAAAAGAATAGAAGTAATGATACCAAATATACAGCATTAGCCAATCCACAGGAAATTATTATAACCAGGAAAGTAATCTAGTCTGTATTAGATCCTTAGATTATAACCTCTAGTCTTCTGTAGTCCAGGTTCATTTATAAAAATAATTATTATACTGTTCTCTTGAGAGTACTTTTTCACTAGGCATTTGCTTTTCCTACAAGATTTCTATCACCAGAATCAAGACATAGCATTCAGTGGCAAGGTTTCATCACTTATACTCACAGATTCCAATGGGTAAACAGAGTTCCTTTTTTAAATAAATTAAGTATGCTAACAATGGAAACTCAGATTTAAGCTGGTAATTTACTTTCTGAAGAATGAATTTGAAACAAGGACCATGTAATTATCCTAATAATAAAAATTACAGAAATAAATGCTGTAGTTTACCAATTGTCTTCTAATATGATAAAATTTTAGTAAACATTATTAAGTAGAATGTTGTGTTTATAATTATTTCAAATAGGAATAAATTGTTACAGCCCACCAAACCATAAAATTTAACTTTCAGATGAGGTTTTTGGGCATGCAACTGTTTCATTTTTTGTGGGTTTTTTTTTTTTTTTAAGCTAGATTTACTCTATTGCAAGAAAGGTGCATTCAGTAGATTTATATTTTACAATTAAATTTTTTAATTTATTTCATAAACATGTGTTTATGAATATTAAATTAGGTAAACATGTGTTTATGAATATTAAATTAGGTAAAATGTACATGAAAATGTTTACTTAGTAATGAAATGTGGGAGAAATGCGGGTATGAAGAAAAATGTCTTTTTAAATGAATTTGATTAATCCATTATGAAGTACAAGATTCTCTCTCTAAGTCACCTATTTAAATATTTATATAGCTTGATACTGTTTCTCAGAAGAACACTTGTCTATTCTCTGGATATGGGAAAACCAATGACAGACTCAGTATCTCTTTCTCAATAAAATGCAGCTCTGTATCTCTGACCAACTCAGGTTGGCCAGGTGTGAAAGGCATTTCAAGTCCTGGTGGCTCTTCAAGTGACAGCATGAGTGATTTTATAGTGAAGATTGCCGTAGTCTGTATTTGATGCGTAATGATGAATATTGAAACAAGAACACTGTATAGTGTCTAATTTTTGTGTGAGATTTAATTTCACAATTTATGGGAAGGTGATCAAATAACAAAACTGCCTATTTGTATTAAAACAGACCATATCTCACTAGCAAGTTATTGTACCTGCTTGAATATTTAGAATCGCAGAATGTTTAAGCTGGGACTAATTTTCGAAATCACAGAATATATAAAACTTTTATTTTCCAAATGAGGTAACTGGGAAATCAAGAATTACTCAAAGACATCTTCATTGCAGATGGAGATAGCGAGGTTGCTGTTATTGTAGATTCTTCACTTTTTAGGGACCCATTACGTTTTAAAACTTGAACGGTAATGCTGACATTTTTTATTACTTATTCATGTAAAATATGGAAGAATGTGAGGAATGAGAGTTCCTAATGATTAGGACTTTTATGGAATATTATCAAGTAACAATTTATGCCTTAGAAAATTTGCCATTTTTAATTGATGAAAAGAATGCTAAATCACTTTAAATTATTTCTAAAGGGATGTGCATTTCATACATCCAGTTATCATAGTGAGAGAAATCTTAGAGCCCTTTTACAGAAAAAGGTACTGAGAAACAGAACGGAACAGAATCATCTATCAAGCTGACCTACATTTGTTTTCGTTTGCTTTTAGAGTATAGCAAATTAAAACCAACATTCTGAAAACCGTATTTTATTTCAAAACTGGTGATTCCCTCCTGCTGAGTAATTATTGCCCACCTCTCACAAAAATAGTGGTGGGGTTAAGATTACAGTCACTGTGTTTGAGCCGTACTGGATGGACTTTTGGGAGCTGTAAAGTATGTGGTGTGGTGTGATGCTGTGAACTGTTGAGCAGAGCACAACAGTATTTATGGATTTAAAGTTTAATCTTTTATAATAAAAAGTGATTTATCCCTCAGGGGGGTACACTGGAGAAAGACCCACTTTTCACAACTTCTCTCAGAGCCCTCTCTCCCCTTGATGCCTGCTGTCTGTTTGATCTGGTAATTAGTGTGGGAATGACACAGTCCCCTCCAACAAAGGGCAATAAATAACTATGGGACTTCTTGAGGAAATGACCTTATCCTGACTTTACTACATGACCTTTTTGGATAGATTGGACTTCAGTTAGTCTCCAATATCAAGTTAATTTGCTGACTTAATTGAGTAACACAAGGAATTGAAAGACATTTAAGATTTTGAATTACAGAAAATATAAAAACACTGTCAAACACTTTAAGAATGATTTATCTAGCTCTGCTGCTTTACGTTTAATCACTCAATTTGGGGAAAAATATGTCATATCAAATTATTATAATAAACAGCTTTTCTTATTTGTTTTTAATATTTTTGTTTGCAACAGGATTAGTCAAGAAATAGACTATACACATCTATTGTTTACATTCGCAGATGTTTCAGAATCGGTGCAATTATTTCTTGATAGTCAAGTCTCCAAGGAGACAACATGTGGCAGTATGTCCCTCTGTAATCCTAAGAGACTCACACAGACGATCCTGGAGAGATTTAGGCAGAAAACTCACCGTCGTTAATGTGAATTCTTTCTCCCTAAATCCATACATACTATATTTCATAGTCTAATACACACTTATTTTTTTAAAATTTTACCATTTCCAACTGGTATGCATATTAGAATAATTTTACAGTCCCTGTCGGGCAAGCAGTGGTCATAACTCATAACAAGTTGTCTATAAACTCGGTCCAAGTAAGCTTGGCCATGCCTTCTTGCATCCAGTTGTTTATTGTATTGGAAAAACGCAGATTGAGTTTCATCACTATTTAAAATGTCTCCAAAGATTGCGTTACGATTTAGTGTTGACATGCAGAGCTATATGACATATCCAAGAAAAGAATAGAACTGTAGCTAGGGTAAAAATTTGGTATGAAGACAATATTTATCCTTGGAAGTAAGAAAAATAACATGATTTCATGGTCCTCCACCAACAAGTGCCTTATAGGACCTAAGAAACAAAGATACATGTAAGTGGCTAAGGCTGTATTCTCTTTTATTACTGCTAGACATGCAAAAGGACAGCGTCTCACAAGCGTGGGCCATGAGTGGATGGGATATGCTGGTTGCTTGCAACTATACCTATTTGGCCACCTGGGCAATCGAACCTCTCAACGCCTTTTAAAAATATCTTTTGATGTTGCCTTCAGAATCCTCTGAAATGCATCAGACCTTTCCTTCAATTAATTTTGCCTTGAGGCCCACTTTTTATTTCCCAACTTGAGTTGCTGCCAACTTTTTAAAGCAGTAGATCGCCAGGAGTGTAAATCGGCCCCAAATTTGGCCCTTTTAAGATCAAACGCAGCTACATTACCGAGTGCTGCTTTTCAAATCAATTCCTTATGTAGATTAATGCAGAAAATTAAAGTTCCAAAAGATGTTCAAAAGCACCACACTTGCCCTATATTTTGGTTACCCTGCTCAGTCCCAGAGAGAGGGGCTGCCTTTGTGCCTGGCTGGAACCAGTCTCTGAAACCTGGCATGTCTTCTCACAGAGCTTGTTTCTTTCTTTGTGCTCCAAAAGATGAAACCCAAATCCCAATTCTTGATGAGTGTTTTTTCTAACTTAATAAGTAATTATCAGATAACTTTAAGAAGAGGTAACCCAGTGTTACTAGCTGTGGAAACTATGACTGAATATCAAAGCCAATATCACCTCCTACATTCTGGGAAACACCTCTCTATTTTTCTAAGCAATGTGGTTTTCCAAAAGCCACTCCGTAGCTTACATCTTAAACCTGTTTTATCTTTACTAGACAGACTATTGCATCGCATTGCTTTTTTACTTTTCTAAAGGAAATGGAAGAGAGGATTTGATTCGGGCTTCGTGATTTCAATTTCATTCATATCAGTTGCCTAGTCTCTCACCTGTGAATGTAAATCTCAATTGGAAAATAACATGACACTCAGATTCACATTTTCTATGAAAAAGAAAAACGTTCCAAAATGCTATGGACTGCATTCTCTCTAGTAGAATGGCACCTGAAATAACTCTGTTTTTTGCAAAATTTAGAAATTTGCAGTGATGTTATGTCTAGTCCTCGTCTTTTCCAATAACTCTTTCTTTTAACTAATGTACATCCCATGTATTTCAATATTATTTTCCATTTGGTGCTTAAAGTTTTTTTCATCTCTGTGTTACACTGATCCGTGTGTTCCTAATCCTGAATCATGTTCTTCTCTCCACATCCTTTTTAATGGGTTCAGCACAGCCTCACAAAATATGTCCTCATACTTCTCGAAATAATCTCTCCTTTCTATGTCTAGATCTCTTAGAGGATCATTAGTCTGTTTTCGTCTGTTTTTTCCTTTCTGCCAGGTTATTTCACATTTACCCTCAACTGGAAAACTAAAAACTACTTCAGAAGGATCATTAAAATGCAAGTGCCTTTTGAAATATGTATAAACCTATATCCTGACTCAAGGGCTCCTGGAGAATGAAAAGATCTTCCACCTCACGACCCTCTCTATAATCTTACCATTCTTCATTCGCTTCCTTGTTCATTTGTTTAAT